ACTCAATGCGGTTTACACAATGAAAATTATCACAATAACATCAATACTATCACACAATATCCTAGATAATTAAAACACATCATATACAGCAACAAAATCAAACAATCATTAACAATTCATAACGCCTCAATATGAAATCAGATCCGTTCTCGTAATCCTTGTGCCATTCCTGAGATCAAATTTTACCATCCTCCTATATTCAGTTGCACTGATTAGCCAAACGCTTGTTCATAGAGCCAGGTCTTAACCTTCTTCCGAAACGCCAGCAGCGAAGGGGCCTGTCTGATGTCTACAGGTAGGGCATTCCATAGCCGAGGGGCCACCACCGAGAAGGCCCTGTCCCTCGTCCCCGCCAACCGCGCCTGTGACGCAGGCGGGACCGAGAGCAGGGCCTCCCCGGACGATCTTAATGTCCTAGTCGGTTCATAGGTGGAGATGCGTTCGGAGAGGTAAGTGGGGCCGGAACCGTTTAGGGCTTTATAGGCTAACGCCAGCACCTTGAATTGTGCCCGGTAGCAGATTGGCAGCCAGTGGAGCTGGCTCAACAGAGGAGTGGTATGCTCCCTGAGTGCCACTCCCGTTAGCAACCTGGCTGCCGAGCGCTGGACCATCTGAAGCTTCCGGGCAGTCTTCAAGGGCAACCCCACGTAGAGCGTGTTGCAGTAATCTATGCGGGATGTAACCAGAGCATGGACTACTAGGTCTTTAGCCTACTCTGTGACATAGTGGTGACTTGTGAACAAACAACTCCTTTGATTCCATAGCTCTGATCCAAGTCAGTTATTGTGCTGTCAAACTGAATTAATTTTACAGTATAGATGAAGCACAGACAGATAGATATCTGTTAAAACAGGGAGAAAGCAACTATGGAAGCAACACATTTTAATTCCACTTACAGTTTATTGTGAAAAAAACAAAACATAGTAAATATTCTGTGTTGAACATTTACTATATTAAATAGCATGGGAAAGGCACTGAAAACCTTTGCCATGCTCCTTTAGTGCTTTATTCAATGATCATTCAAGGATATTTCTGTGGCTTTTACGGGTCTTGGGGATAAAGCTTTTAAACTCGTCTGTTGCAATGCAGGCACATACTGGTATAAAGAATCTTCTTTATTCAAGTATATAAGATGTACAATTAACTATGCAGGGCTTCTGGCCAACGCGTTCCCACTAGCTGAGCTTGAGATAGAAGTGGGCCCGAGAGAAGGCCTCTCCTGAAGATCTCAGGGCCCAGGCAGGTTCCTACAAGGGGATGTGTTCAGCCAAACAGCTTAGATCTGAACCATCCGGGGCTTTAAAGGTCATAACCAGTTTCACCTCATGAGTTTCAAAAAATAGTGGAGACCTGGGTGTGGATCTCGGAGTCCAAGCAGCTTCTTTCAAGTGGATGCGGTCAGCCAAATAGCCTGGCCATGAACCATTTAGGGCTTTAGTGGTGGTAACCAGCTTCACCTCATGAGTTTTTTTTAAAAAAAGTGGAGGCTTGGGTATGGCTCTTTCAGATCCCCTTCTGACTGTCTAACCACTTCACTGGCTCTCCGGCAAACTTTTTATAATGAACTGTATCAATGGAAAGTCTGTGACTTATCCCTCCATAAATACAGGCGTCATCCTGTGTATCTTATAGTCATGTTGTAACTAGGCCTGGGCGGTTTCGTTTCGTTAATTTGTAATTCGTTAATAATTCGTTAATTTTTCCAATTACAAAACGATAACGAACCATTCTGGAGCAATCATTAAAAAAAACGAATTTTTAAACATGTTTTGTAAATGCTTCGTATTTCGTTATTGTATTCATTTCGTTATTGTTCAGAGGTCGTTTCGTTATTATTTCCGCATGTCTGGGCCAGTTTTATGGTTTAATTAGTGAAAAAAAATTATAATATCACACCAACAGTCAACAACAGAGGGAGAGGGAAGCTTCAGAAGTTTTTGGAGGTTTTTTAGCGTATTTCGCGGTCGCGTCCGCCATTAACGAATCGATTCGTTATTGTTTCGGAAATCGATTCGTTAATTTTTTACCATTTACGAAATTTCGTAAATATCGAACTTTTTAAAAGGAAAATTTTGTAATTATTTTAAATATCGAAACAAAAAAAACCCCCAAATACAAATCGATTTTAGAAACAAATTTTTGCGTTGTTACCCAGGCCTAGTTGTAACCTATGCCACTGGAAAAGGAATTAATAAATTACAAGGAAAAATGAACAGATTATCTTACATCCAGAAGATATGATTTGTCAATGTGGTGGAGAAATAGTTACTTTCGCATTTAGGAGGCTTGTTGTATTGTAGACTCAATGTTTCTATGTTTTCATTTACAGGGAACTATTTTAATCTGCAAAATGGCATCAGTGTTGTTTGACAAAGATGAATGGGACACCCCAAAAAGGTTTAATCCCAATCATTTCTTGAGTAATGTTCAATTCAGGATTAGGGAAGCCTTCATACCATTCTCTGCAGGTAAGGGTAGGGGGAGGAATATCAACACATTTCTCAAAAGTTCTGCCTGCTTACAGGTATTGAATAAAATAAAAATTCATGTGAGGCTTGAAGGTTCCAGCCCACACCTTTCCCTGATTATGCTAATTTGCTTGAAAGACAAACTTTTATTTGCCTTGGATAGAGAAATAAATTTGTGTTTCTCTGCTTGGCACATACTGAGCCAAGCCTCCTGCAAATATAAAGGGGCAGGACTGAGTGCATTCCACTCTATTCAAACTGTCAAGTGTGGAGGAGAGTTCCCCCTTGTGGTTATCCTGTGTTTCAATTCCAAAGAAAGAAATGGTGTCAGCATTAGTTCACAGGTATAGGGTTTCCATGCCCTAGAGACCTTCCTGTTTGTGGTTTCAGAGACTTGGATTAAGCCAGTTATGTGTTGCACTGGACACAACACAGCCAATAAATAGCCACTACGAACAGTTTTTGAATGGGATCCAGGCTGGTTGTTCTATCAACAGCAAAGGAATTCTGCATTGATCCCTGACTTGATCTTCATCAGGTCCTCTTTTTCCTAGCTTCTCCTGTTTGGTTTTCTACTCTACTACAGTGCCTGTTCAAAAATCATGGGGTTGTTAGTGCAGAGAGATATTGTAAAAAAGAGCCATCCCATTCTCTTCCTCTATTACAAATGGAACACATCTATTGCTAATGTAGATTCACTCTCTTTGATCTTGATCTTCATCAGGTCCTCTTTTCCCCAGCTTCACATGTTTCTTCTCCCACCCTACTTCAAATACTATTATATATTTGCTCTTTTCCATGTATTTTTTGGTGAAATCTGGGAAATGAAGACTAGAGCCATGGGATAAAATTTTTAAAACAAGATTTATTTCTTACTCGCCTCTCCTCGTGGCAAGCCACAACCAAAAGTACATTCTATGAAACATTCTACAAAATACACATATTAAAACATACAGAACAAACCAGCCAGAAGAGATAGGGTTTAGGTGATTTTTAAATTCTGAGAGTTAATTTAGCTGTCAGAGCTCTTCTAGCAGATTGTTCCACAGTCTTAAGGCAGCTGATGAAAAGGTCATCTGGGTGATGGTTGCCAGTTGGGTTCCGGCAGGCTAAAGTAGACAACCCCCAGAGGACCTCAGTGTTCGGGGCAGATTGTATGGGAGGTGATCCTATAGGTAACCTGGACCCAAATCATGTAGGGCTTTAAAGGTCAATACCAACACCTTATACTTTGCCTGGAAACTAATAGATCAATAAATGTGCACAACTGATATTTTGTGCATCATATTGGCCACATGCAAGTGAGAATCACCCCACGTGTACATCAGTTGCATTTCTGCAAATCCAATAACATTGTCTTCTGCAGCCATGCTGTGATTTAAGTATTTTGCACTGCTAGCTCTGTCAATTCAAGAATGCATGCCATGCATAAGACACCAAGAGGATTCCAGCCATATTTCTGCAATACAAATATGGAATCTGGGCTGAAATGCTATTGTGAATCTCAACAAGAGTAGAACATTGACTAAAAATGTTTGTTTCCCATGAAATTTAAAGATATTTTAAAGGTATTTTGCTCTGGTTTACAACAGTGACTTGCCAAAATTGTTGTCACCTCAACATCTCATAAGTTTTCTGTAGCCATTTTTTTCTTCTCTTCCAGGAAAAAGAACCTGTCTTGGAGAACGGTTGGCTTGGATGGAACTTTTCCTTTTCTTCACTGCCTTGATTCAGAAGTTCTCTTTCCAGGCTCCAAAAGGTGTGAAACACACTGAGCCTAAACCAATACCATATATGTGCCATCTCGTATTAAAAGTATTCCATGTTGCTGTCAAAATATGTAGGGTTTGGTTATGATAATAAGGCTATTTGACCTGTTTTTTTTGTTTTTTTTACTGAACTTGTTATATTAATATAACTGTTTGTGACACTCATGATCACTGCACATTGGGCAAAAAATACAACCAAAAGTTTCTGCAACCCTGCCTGATTCTCATAATGCACCAAATGTCCACAAGAGGCTGAGTGGAGACAAATAAACAAAATATTACAGCCTTCTTGGTGGCTGCCCTTAGGCTCTGGTAAAGCCTCTTCCCTGACGAGCTTCTGATGGCAGACTAATTTTTTTTAATTTAGGCAGGCTTTTAAAGAAGAATTTAAAGAGTAAACCATGTATGTATGTGTGTGCATGCTGTACTGTATTTTGATTATTTTAACAGTTTTAAGTGTTTTAATTGAATTGTATTATTAATTCTATTTTAATATTTGGATGCTGTGATCTGCTTTCTGCCTCAGTAAATATGGAAAAGTGAGATATTAATAAATAAAAATAGATGAACCATTGTCACATCTGTTTCATGATGCTATTATCATTAACTGTCTTTATAAGTCTACATTAAATAATAAGGTTAAGTGTAAAACACACTTCGTCTTAAATTGTAAAAAAACACTTCGTCTTAAATTGACCTTAGCAATGCTACAGATGAAGCTACTAGTTAATTATGTAAAATAACTCAAGAACAACAAAACAGATGCCAAAAGGTTTTTTTTAAATGTGGATACAAAATAATATTTCTTGAACAAAGAATAAAACCATGTTTACAAATTAGTGCAAATTCTTTTTTTCTCACAATTTTATACAGCCTATTTGCTTTCAAATCAGAGATTGTATACATTTGAGAGGTTATTGTAACTGGAAATATAAAGCCTTCGACAATATAAAGCTAATTCTAGATTGAAAATATAAACTTACACCTACCATTTATTCTTATTAAAAGAAAATATGAATATTGCTTACAGTTATATGATCCTAATCAAATGGTTACTGGTAACAAATAGAACATTTCATTTTGAAGAGAAACATGTCATTAATTATACTGGATGTGTTAGCCTGGTAACAAAGCTCTTAACCTAAACTCTTTTTTTTCAGTGTCCATGGTTTTTAAAAATAATTAAAAGCACATATCACATAATTAAGTACAGCATCAAGTCATAACATTGTTATACAAAGAAAGTGCTCTTGAATCTAATGGGGAAAACCATGCAGTCGATACAGAAAACAAACACCACCTGGATTAAATATTCTGTATAAAGCTAAATAATATAAATTTGTTTCATAGTTTAGGATAATTCATGTATTTTTCTTTAAAAATCAATAATTTCAGGTCAATTTCTCTTTACGTGAGCCTGTCTCAGTTAAATAGAGATGCGTTCAGGTGCTGGTGAACAAAATATGTGATTGCTATTGAAGCTTATTAGTCAAAAGAGGTAGTTCCAAATATAAAGACTACTGTTATACCAAGCAGACAAAAAAACAGCTGAGTTGCAAATAATTATCACAAAAACTATTGCTTCTGCAGTTGCCATGTCCAATAACATGCAATGAATAAGATGTCTCCTGGGATATTCATGATTGATTGCACTAAGAAAGAAGCACAAGTGGATATGGTAGACCTATGGTATTTTCTAATGTTTGTAAAGCCCGTGCAACATCTGTGTGAAGAACTGCAGTAATTTCAGCACTAATCGCCCATATATTTAAAAACAAAATCATGGTTTTTAGATTAATCCTCAGTGAACTCTGTACTGAGAATAAGATTGGAAAGAATATTGTTACCTATTTCCCCCCCCCCCCCCCCCCCAAAAAAAAAAAGGTCTCCTGAGAATTGAGAAACTTGGTTAGGAAAAGGAACTCAGAGGTGAGAAATATTTATCTGCCAGTACCCAACTATTAGACCCCAGGCTGGTTGTGACCAAGCCTAATGGAAATCAGGCAGTAGTAACTAAGTTAAAATTTTATTTCTTTCAAGGGACTTGGTCCCAACTAATTTGAAATCTAATTTGAAATCAACTTTCACCTTGGTGTTAACATTATTTTTCTAGTAGAAGTCATATGTAGTATATTATAAATGATAATTGCTGGAAAAATATTTTTGTGCTCATAATCTGTGGACAATGCATAGCTAATTGTTGCAATTAGAGCTGTATTTGTTTACAAGGAAATACAAAAATATCATATCATTAACACCATGTCACTAGATCTGCACTAGCCATTTATCCCTACAAAATTCAGACCAGAGGAAATGTTCAGAGAGATACTGAAAACACAAGGAGTACATTAAACAGAACAAAACTATCTGAAAACTCAAGAGGTGATCATGAGATGTTAAAAAACAAGAGGACTGGACGTTCTGTCAATATATGCTTAGGCTCTAATCCTAAACACATGATTTGGGAGCAAGCCCTACTGAATTCAGTAGAACTGCTGAGTAGGTACGTGTAAGGCCTAACACTCTGCTCCCGTTATTAAAATTAAAGCAATAATAATTAAATGTGCTGTATAAACTGAACAGCATGTAATTCTTCAGATAAAACACCACAGTTTTGATAGAGTGGAAAATCTAAACTGTAGATCCACAGCAAACTTCACAGCTCCGATGACGGAACTCATAGTATCAGAAGTGTATAAATTCTTTGAAACTATGGTAAATATTCTGAAATAATTTGAAACATTGTGTTTACAGCCACAAGACCCTGGTCCACGATATATAAGCTATTCTGGGAAATTCTTTTAATTTCCCATAATAGAACATCAGTTTTGAAAACAAACATGCATTTGCCTTGGTGAATATGCATTCACACATACTTTTGCATTTTAAATCATTGTACCACATCAGCTTGAATAATTGAATCATTTTAAAGAGTGCAGCATAATCCTTTAAAAACAAGCTGCTTTATTGCTAAACAAGGTTTTTCTGGAGAACTGCCTACTTTATCACTAGTAGGCACAGGGCAAACAACTGACTATTGGCTTACATTATATAAAATATCAATATTTTATATTAAACGAGTTTATAAAGTTTTAGAATTGACCATGAGAACATCTTCATAGAAAACCTATTCCAAGGCCTCTATCACAAGACATTATTAATCTTTTATAAAAAAATAATATAGCGACACAAACACAAACTCACAGAAGCCTTTGATTATGCAATGATAAACAAGGCCATGCCATCAAGTTGCCAACATGGTATAGTCCAGTTCTTGGTACCCATCCAGTAAGATCCAGAAACCAGGCCTATAGTCCCTGCTTTGCCTTTAGGAGCAGGATGTGCTCAGATATTTTGTCCAACCCTGCATATTCAGCTTGTAGTGTGGCAATATGTATTATAATTATATATTATAACCCTGCATATTCGGCTTGTAGTATGGTAAAGAGACTCACAATCCCACAATGCCAGCCCAGGCATCCTGTGGCCCAGGCCTAAAGTCATAAAAAATCCTAAGTTAAGGTTAACTCTGCAACCTTTCAAAATTTCCGTAATTTAAAACCACATGATTATTTTTAAAGACACTAATTCATTTCAAATACACAGACATTTGGCCTATGCTGATTTCACCTCTTTAAAAAGGGAAACATCTTTGATGTATCTACATAAAACAATCATTACTTTTGTTTAACAAGGGCTCAACAGGGCTTGGATGGACTACATTTTTAGGACATATGTCTACTAATGTTTGGTTGTATTTTTCTTACAACTTAAAAATTAACAAAATACCAAACAAATCCTGCAACATGAATACTGAAAGACAATTGTGTATTAAAACTTTTGGTCATACTTGGTGTTTTTTAAACAAAAAATAGTAGAAGAAAATTGTGGGAAAATACCTTTCTTTGCTGAGATCACATTTTTAAAAAATTACTCCCGTTAAAATTAGTAATCATCCTTGACTGAAATAATTAAACAGAATTGGTGATGTTGCCAGGAAGACAAATATAAACTCTTTAAAACTCCAATCTTTTTAAATCTAGAAGGTTCAAATCTTTTTAAATCTAGAAAAATTAGATCTGCGTTGCTTCTTATATGGTAAAACCCCCATATCTATGATGCATACATTCCTGATCGGACTGCAGTTACCTGATCAACAGATACAACCAAATACGATTAAATCACTTGACTTTGGATCCCAGCATACGACAGAGTTGCACTGCAAAACCTACAGATTCATAGAGAGGAATTTTCTAGGTCTGCTATCATGATTCTATAGTAACTTCTGGGGGAAACATACCATAGAATTATGCTAGAAGATCTAGCAAATTCCCAAAGAGACCATTTTGCCCCAGATTCAGAAAAATGAAACCACAGAGAAGGGCTCCATGGTTATGGAACTCTAACTGTAATCAGTTGGTCAAATTACATTTGACACCAGACAGGTCTCCTCTGTAAAATAGCAGATGCACAGCATCCCATTCCTTGTCAAGTAGTTCAAAACAAATGTTACAAAATACGTTAAGGACACTTGTGTGCACAAATATCCTCCCTGGTTTAATCTGATGTTGCAGGAGGTACTTTTACGGAGAGTGTCCTTCGAGTGTTGGTGACGTGCCGTTGCTGAGCAAGAAAAGAGCGGGCCGGTAGGCAGGAACTATTGTCTTTGTATGCCATGTTCCCACTTATGAGTCTGGATTCCATTCCCAGTTTATGAAATGCTAAGCTCTGGAGAGGAAAAAAGCAAGATAAGCCATGTAAAGCCACAATTCCTGACATTTTATCATTAAAAAAATCCAAGATCATGTCAACTATAGCACATTTCTAATATTAATCACATTATATTACTACTACTACTACTATTATTATTATTATTATTATTATTATTATTATTATTATTATTTTACTGACACAAAAACACAGTATGTCACAGCAAACAATTATTATTATTATTACAAAACATTTTCTGGAAAATATTACACACTGTATGAATTCAAACATACTGATAGTGTCTGATGTGTATTCAGTACAATATTATGTTAACAGAAAATATTATGGATTATAGCTACATAGAAGATGGCTAATTTCAAGGGCACACTTTTCTGTTGATTTTAAATATGTGAGAAGCGAAACATTACTTGGCACCTCAGAAAACCGATGTTAAAAGGATATGAATAATTGATCACAGTGTGTGTGATATTAAATACTGGTTACTACACTGGAAGATGTAAACACTTCATTCTTCTTAACATATGGAAATGATCTGTCACGTAAGGAGATGTAGAGCTTTTCTCATTTTGATTATCAATTCATTTGTACACATTTGTTTATTTGCTCTTCCCATCTAATAAATACACAGATGCACACTTTAGCTCACCTTGTTATACCACGCTGACACAATTAATTTTTCTTCATGATCATTCAGCTTGGCCAATTTACATTCTCCCTAAAAATAATGTATGTAACTGTTAATATGTAGGAAAACTATATGTGTCTGAAACGTCATAGCTAAACAATGGAAGGAACAACGTAAATCTCAATTATTCCCAATAAATAGTTGTTAATTTATTATAAACTCCCCCCGACAAACATAGCATTTTGGTGTTTCTGCTAGTTCTCTTATTCTGCTGGTTCTCCTTCTTTATCAAATGACCTATTTTCACTAAGTGGCAATACTTGACATCAAAGTATTTACAGTTGTAAAAAGAAAAAAAATGACAAATGTGGTTTTTACCTCAAGTGCTTCAATTCTTTTATCCTTTTCCAACAACTGTTTTCTTAGCAACATGATTTCGGCAGATGCTGGATTTAATTTGGGATCTAAAGTTTTTATCACCTGCACAAAGATGAAGACAAAAATGTATTTGACAACCTCACCCATAATTTAGTCACAACATTAATTTAGAATCTAAAAAACCCCCCAATGATACAGCAAATCAAACAGCACAATATTATCTGACCTAGATGAAAAGGCTGCCTATAAGTATGTATAAGTAATTTGGGACTGCTGATAAGAGACAAAATACAAAATCATGTAACTTGATGGAAAATATGGAGCTGATAACTCGTGTAGAACTAATCCATAAGCTGGAAGCAGGAATAACAGGGGTTTCTAATTCTAAGATTTTAAAATACATCAGATTATTTGAGAACACAATACTCACACTTCTTGCTTTTTCCAGGTACATCTTATACCTTTCTTCCATTGATTTCATATCTTCATCTTTTTTATGTAAAGCTGCTTCCAGTTCTTCAATTTTTTGTGCTATTTGGAAGAAACCCAGTTTAATATTAGTGGAGACAAACACAGGGGGAGTATTTCTTATTCAGAAGTGTTTTGCATTTTGGAATACCTGTATTTGCATACATGCACACAATTAAATATCTTGGATGGGATACAAACATGAAATTCATTGATGTTTTCTATACACCTTATACACATAAACTGAAGGTAATTTAATACAATTATTTAAAAATAACTTTCTGCATCAAAGTTTATGTACACTGAAAAATTAACTAGCAAAGGTGTCACCATCTAAACAGAATTAAGAGTATAGGCTGTACTTGTCCAAATAATTGCTTGAAAAATTCTGATCTTGTAGGCTTCTAGTCACTACTTTCAAATGTGATTTTACTATGGGAGCACAACATCAATCTGTCCAATGCAGAGATCCTTAAACTGCAGCCCTCCAGCTGTTTGGGCTTCCAGCTACCAGAATTTCTAGCAATTGAACAAGCTGGCTAGGGCTTCTGGGATTGGAGGCCGAAATAGCTGGAGGACCACAGTTTGAGGATGTCTGGTCCAATGTTTTGCAACTAATCTTGACATAATTAGGAGAGTATAGTTCTTCCCTTCAATGTACTGGACTGCTAGTAACACACCAAAATCAATGCTTATTTTTCTCCAGTCTTTATGTAGACATAAATGGGGAACAGTATAATAAAATAATGGTTTAGAGCAGGGATTCCTCTCATTTTCATCAAGGGTCACATCAGTCTTATGGTTGTCTTCAAAGGCCCATTGAATTAATGGATGGAGAAACCGTGGATACAGAGGTCAGCTATAATCATTTTTACATAGTTTTCGGTGATCTTTAGTTTTTACCCAACTTGGGTCCTTGGATGTTATTGAATTATGATTCCCATCACTTTTGATTATCCACAATTTGGACTGGGGATAATGGGAATTGCAACCTAACTGCACTTGTGGGTCTAAGGTTGGGGAAAGGTTAAAGGTCATTTTATAGACAGACATCATATCCACAAGCCTTGTTTCTAAATTAAAATTACACTATACTGACTAAACAGAACAAACTGCAACCTTCCAGCTGTTAATGTATCACAACTCCCATCAGTTATAGTCATGATGTTTAATGAGGAATATAGGAGTTGTACTTCAGCATCTGGAGGGCCATATAAAATGACATGGCAGGCTAGATTTGGCCCATGGGCCTTGATTTTAAAGCATGTCGTTTAGATCCTGTTGAGGCTATCCCTCATGTTGTGGCCATAGCTCTGCTGGTTGTATATTTTACATGCTTGCATAAGAAAGTATCAAGTACTCCATCACAGAAGCAGTTCACCATTTGGCAAAGTTAAAAGCCAATCTGGTTTGTGGCAGCAACTCTGCACCCTCAACTTGACTCGGAACAGTTCTTGGAATGGCCCTGTGATCAAGGGCTAAATGTGAAAGTTTGATCAAAACACAATACCATTTTGGTTCATGTCTGGCTGGAGGTCTGCAAGAAGAGCTTCTTTCTTCTGCAGCTCATCGTGGACTTCACTCAACTTCTCCCTTTGGATTCAGAAGTTTTAAATCAGAGGTTAAGATACTTCAGTATTTCCTGGTCTCACATATCCATAACAACTGAACAAAATGTTTTCATACTTGTAAAAAAACAAGAAACAAAGTGAGTCTGCTTTAAAACTGTGTGATAATCCCAAATCAAATTTACATTTATTTTAGAGCCATAACTTTAAGAATGGTGTTCAATGACATTCTAAAATATGGAGGTATCATTGACTGCTATTTTGGGCCTCACCTGTATAGATTCCTTTTACAAGATAAGAGATGAAAAACACAATTCTTAAGGTTGATCAACATTAAATGAGACCCAATTTAATTTTACTAGGATTTTATGAACTATACAGAATTTATGAAATGCAGAATGAGCCTCTGTACAGGCACAGGGAGCATGAAGAATCGAATGGAATTGTCAACGAGGATAGAGAGCTGTTTAGGGTTGAACGAGCCCATTGTTTAAAGACAGCATAATACCCCCTCATTTTCCATTAGCACTGCAAGTGGGAGAAGAGATATAATATTCCCTGCTCTAAAAGATAAAGTAATGATAATCTCTTTGCATGCCATACACTAAAAGCAGACATAAATTTGAACTCACATATGTGCTGCTATCTTCTCTTTCAACTTGCTGGACTGTTAAAAAAATATAAACTGCTTAGAGACACACTGAGTGGCATCAGAATTCATTCTACACGTATTTTCTCAAATAAGTCACCACCACATAACAGTTGCAAAATGTTTTCCCCCCCTTTTCCCGCATAAAATCACAGTTGTTTATAAAACTGAGAAACTCCCCTCTCAAAGAAAATTTAAATGAACACCAAGTTCTTCTGTTCTTCCTTCCCCCTCAAAGACAGTTTGAACACAGAGCTCTCTCTCTCCCCTCTTAATCTCAGGGGTAAGATAATTTTTTTAAACAAAATCTGGCAAAGATGGCATCTATTTTCTTCAACACATTAGTCTCACCCCTCCCTTTTCCAACAACAAAGAGGATAAAAAGTGTGACTATTATACAATGAAATACAGCATACATGCAATGTATTCCCAGTGGTTAGAAACTATGGAAATGATGGCTGATATCTTGTTAGTGACATAGATGTAAGTCCCTTTCTTTGATAGGGCACAGAACAGGCCCACAGCCAGGATTTCGTTTGGGGGGGGGGCTGAATTTTTTTCAGGAGGGGTTCGGGGGGGCTGAGTTTCGGGGGGGGGGGGCTGAGTCTGAGTGAAAAAGGGTCTAGCCTAGCAAACCTTTTGTATCATTACCCCAATACCCCCATGCATATGGGATATATTGAGTATGGTGATCAGATCATGATATGAATAAACATAACAGTTTAAATAATGCACCAGTAAGGCCTTTTCGCAACCACCATGAGAATTTCGGGGGGGGAGCTGGGCTGAAGCCCCTGGTAAAGAAGGTCATTCTCTTGCTCCTGCTCTCTCTTCAAGCAAATCTCATACTTTGTGAGGTCCAAAGAGGAGGCACTGTTGCTCCTTACCAGAATAAATGAAGCAGGGAGGAACTAGATGCTTACAATGGAGACTTGCCTGGTCTAAGCTTCTAGCAAGAAACAGTAGGGTCCACTGGATTTTGAGAGTCTATCCTCATTTCTTCTTCTTCCCCAAACCTCTCTGAAATCAGATACTTCTCTATGATCTGAATTGCCTTTCCACTCCCGTCCTTCTCCCTCTAAGTGACAGAATCAGGGGTCCCTCCCAGGATCTGACAGCTGACAACTTTTGGAAAGAACTGCATATAGAGATATCATACATGCAATCCCGGCCACTGTTGGATAATGCATAACTCAAGCAATGCGATGCCTGGAGACCCCCTGATAACTGCTATACTTATTTTTACATTTTCTAGGAAAATTGCTTTTTAAATCAATGATTCAGCAACAAAATAACAAGTATAGGACAAGAAACAGTTCGTCATACACTATCTACCCCATCTCCTTCCGTCCTGGATGCTTGCTCCTGCAAAGTCTTCTGCAGATCTTCAATTTGCTGCTGTAGCTCTCCAACACGCTCCTTGCTCAATCTATCAGAAAACATTTAAAAAACCCATGTACACACACACAGAAAAATCCTACATTCCTTTAACATTCCATCCATTTGCCAGAATTAAAGCTGAAATTGTTCAAGAATAAAAAAGAATCAGCTCTTATAGTTTTGATAATTCTTTAGTCTAAATATAGTGTGTACTTCTAACTACAGACAGTCCCCAAGTTACGAACAAGATTGGTTCTGTAGGTATGGTCTTAAGTTGAATTTGTATATAAATTGGAACAGATACATTTTTTAAAGTGTAACTCCACCCAAAAACATATGTTGTTGCTTTGGATAGCATAGGGAAGGGTTAACACCCCTGTGGGGTTTGTTCTGCTGTCTATGTCTCTTCCAGAAGATGTCACCTCACTTTCTGTTACTGTGATAATTGGATTTTGGAAAGAAAAAAAAAAAACACTTGTTGTGGAAACAAGAATTGATGATAAAGCTTCAGTTGAGACATCTTTTCCCCATTATAACTCTTCCAGAAATGAATTTCCCTTCGGAGGAGTAAATTTATCTCATGTCCTGTTGTCTCACCCCCGTTCTTATCTATGTGTTGTTTGTAAGTTGGATGTTTGTAAGTCTGGGACTGCTTGTATAAGTGATTCACTAAATCAAATCAGTGCTAATTTTACCTTTTATGGATTGAATCAATAGGTCTACTCTGTTGGTACTAATAACTAGAACTGGACTTCATAATGAGTTCTGCACTGTTTCTTATTATTTTATCTTCAGTGTACCTACTTGTCCAATGTTTGATATCCCCCCAAATAGCTTTTTTTCAATATTATGCCCAAAAAGGAAAAAAAATACCTATTTTCTGTTTCTAATTCATTTATTGACCGATGCTTCTGTTCTAGCTGCTCTTGGAGCTCTACAATTCGTTCATTTTCAGACCCTTCTTGTTGTAAGTGGAGCATCTTGTTTTCATGCTGTAGCCGAATGAACATTTCCCTGAGATTTAAAAACAAAGGTTAGTTGCATTGCATCAATGTCATTATTATCTAAAGATCTGGAACAGAACACTCCATGTTATAAGATACAATGATCAAGCATAATTTTCTTTTGGAACAAGTCACATGATATACTTTTAGTTTCATTCAAGCACAAAGGCTTTGGATCAGAAATGTCCTTAACACATTGCTGACGGATCTGTGTCTGGATTGTAATTTCTGACATTATTTCCAGTTTCAAAAGCAAAACCTTTATCACTCAACTTCTATTTTTAAACTGAAAAGGAATACATTCAGAAGGAAAGGGAATAGGAAGTAAGAAAGTTCCAATAGAAAGCAATTCTGTTGTATGATCCTCAAGGTTAAGCCTTTATCAGTAAAGCTTCAAACTGAAGAATTTCATAATAATCACCTATTTTGAAATGGGCTACAGAATCTGAGTTAATATTATGGTTCAAATATATAGTCTGATCCCAAAACCAGTGTTTCTCAAACTGTGTTCCTCCAGGTGTTTTGGACTTCAGCTTCCAGAAATCCCAGCCAGCTTACTAGCTATTAGGAATTGTGGGAGCTGAAGTCCAAAACATCTGGAGAAGCACAGTTTGAAAAACCCTGCCTAAAATCATGGGAAAGATGTTCCTGGATTTCGAGTGGATAATTGCAAACTCCACTGTAATGAAGGGCCACAGTTGCACTGATCAATCCAGAAAATGCCCAGAAACGAAATATTTTGTCAGATATGAATAAATGAAACAGTGGGTACCAGTCCCATGAAAAAGGAATCCATGTATTAACAACAATCTAGCATTAGCATTATGCACTGATATTAGCATATACCATATGTACTCGAATCTAATCTTTTTGGGGTAAATTAACTTGCCAAAATTAGGGTGCACATTAGACTTGCATGATGTGGTAATCTTAGTACTTTTTTAAATTTATCGTGCCGAAATTGTTATTTTATTGTCAAAAGCAAATTGAGAATACAGTTATATTGTATAGAAAAACTACAAACAATGTTAAAAACTTGGCATTATACTAAATTTCCTCTAGTGTCACTGTAAGATCTTAGTGCTCAGCCAAAGGAAAAGGGGAAGCTGCTTCAGGAGCACCTGGAGCCCCTATTTAAGGGACATCATCTCTAATTTAATGGCTATGGCCCAATGCTATGCAATCCTGGAATTTGTAGTTTTGATGAAGCATCGGCATTCTTTGGCAGAGGCTAAACACCTTGTAAAACTACAGCCCCCAGGATTCCACAGCATTGAACAAATCCAATTAAAGCGGATTCGTTCTACAGCATAGATGCAGCCCAAGGGTTTTCTTACACAGTTGCTGGAAGCTTTTGTGTTTCAACACTTTTGTTTTTAAAGAAGGAATTCTTAGCAGGCAGCAACTGTAATGAACACCTTTTCTGGCCAAATTACAAAGACTGCATTTTTGCCACTGTACATTACATTCAAAAGCAAATACTGAATTTTTTGTTTAAGGGTTTAGAAAATTGAGGTGTGCATTAGATTTGATGGTGCATTAGACTCAAGTAAATCTGGAAATTAATCTTATGCACTCATCATGCATTCATAACTTCCTTCAAAAATGCTACACTCCTTTCCTACCTGTATTCTACTGGAACAATTTCAGCAGCAAGATTTTCATGACTTCTTACTGCAGAGACATCTGAAAATATAAAACAAAATATGAAGGCTTTCCCCAGTTTAACTCAATAAAATACTTCTAAAAAGAAGAAATGTACCTGTTTGATTCAAGTGATCCTGTTGCATTTGTGAGCACCTAAGCTCTTCATTTGTCTCTTTCAGGGCATCCCGCTGAACTATCAATCTCTGAAAAATATTTCAGAAATTTAGCCATGGAAGATGTACGTTGTAACAATATTTGTCTACATTAGAGTTTAAATTATGCCCCCCAACTCTGAATGGCTTTCCATGTAACCCGGCAGTAAAATTCAATGAAACCGACCTCTTTCTCTTTGATTAATGCTTCATGCTTCTCTTCTAGTCGTTTCATTTCAAATGCCAGTATATCAGCCCTTCTGGATTCTTCTGAGAGTTTGTTATGAAGATCTTGAACCTTGTTTCAAAAGACAAATAAATTGTCTGTTCAAAGGGCTTCACAACTTTTCCATTGGGGGAAAATACCTTGCAGCAAAAATGGGATAGAGGAAATATAGTCCAAACTGCAAAATCACTAACAAGAATACCTTATGGGTTCTGATTGCCAACTTTGGATTCCTTGGCAACAATATTTTGAACTCCATTTGTTCTGTTCTTATGCCTGGAATGTATATAAAACATTTCACAAGCAGGACACACCACTATCTCATTCACAAGCAACAGGTTGTATATTGGAGTTAACATCAACAGTCAATTAAGAGGATATGAGTAGTTCAAGTAGAATTCATACAAATAGATGTCAAATGAAGCTTGAAGGATTTGGAATGTAGCAGCCAAAAGGCCAATGTGATTGTAGGCTGCATCAATCAGAGCATAAATAGCGGGACATAATAGTACCACCCTATTCTGCTTTGGTCAGACCTCACCTGGAATACTGTGTCCAATTCTGAGCACCACAATTCCAGATGGATATTGAGAAGCTGGAAGGTGTCCAGAGGAGGGCGACTAAAATGATCAAAGGTCTAGCACCTAAGCCCTACGAGGAAGGGCTGAGGGAGCTGAGTAAACCATATTTCATTGGCATAATGGTCGCCATTATGTAATAGTCATACCCCCATGTTAGGGGTGGCAAAATTGGTATTTTTGTGCTCCTTGCATAATAGTCACAGAGCCATTTGGGGCTGATTCTTCTTTCTTCCTTTTTTCGCCAAAGGGAAGGCAGTTTAAAGACTATGAAATGCAATTCTCAGGAACTCAGATCTCCCCTTCTTTCTCCTTTTCATTTAAATTTTGTAAACTGCCTTGCCTTTGGAGAAAGAAGGAAGGAGGGTGAAATTTTCCCTCTTCATTCCGAGGCAAAGCGGTTTAAAGAAATAAACAATCAGAAATGGAGCTGTTAGTTTGAGGCTGGTAGTACATTAGACAAAACAAAACCAGAAACCGGAGAATCAAAGGAAGTTTTTTAAACATGTAATAATCACACACCCTTTTTTCAATAAAAAAGAAGGAATAAAAAGTGTGACTATTATGCAATGAAATATGGTATTTCACTTGGAGGAAAAAGGGGTGAGAGGGGGACATGCTAGCCATGTGTAAATATTTGAAGGGATGTCTCATTCAGGAGGGGGCAAGATGGTTTTCTGCTGCTCTGGAGACCAGGACACAGGGCAATGGATTCAAATTGCAGGGAAAAATATTCCAACTAAACATTAGGAAGAGCTTACTCATAGTAAGATTTGTTTTAAAGTAGAAAATGCTGCATCAGAGTATGGTGGAGTCTCCTTCTTTGGATGTTATCAACTAGAGGTTGGATGGCCATGTCATGAATACTATGATTGTGTACATTCCTGCGTGGCAGAAAGGGGTTAGACTAGATGGCCCTTGTGGTCTCTTCCAACTCTGTGAATCTATGATTTACACAAGTATTGTGATAGAACTGCTGCTTGGAAACACCAAATCCAATGACTTCCAAGGACTGCTTTATTTGCTCTGGTTTAGAGTCAGATCTCCATGTGAACATATATGTGCCCATACATGCATGCAAATTGCTGCAAACAGGCGAAGTACAGAGATTCAGCTATATATTAGAAAGAACAAACTTTGGTATAAACAATAAACACACATATGGATGTTTTACAGGAATACGGGACACCTCACCTCATCAACTGAGGAAAAACCTGCATGTATGTATTTTCATAAATGATAAGACCATCTTTTCTAGAATGGAAAAAGAGACACAAATATAAACAAGATACGAAGAATAACAAGATACGAAGAATTACCTACCTGCCTTTTGTAAGTTTCTAACTGTGCACGAGCTGCATTTGCTTTCTTCAGTTCTTCTTCTAGGCTCACTGTATTATGCATGTACATCATATTTGTTTCCTGAAGAGATTTCACCTGTCTGCGAAAGTCATTCAGGTCTTCCAGTTTTTTACGATACACCTCAACAGTCGATTCCAGCTTATTTGCTTTGTCAGCAACTGTCCTGTAACAAACCCAGTATAGATTGGGATTTTTCTTACACAGATACAAAATTAGCACTAGACATTATATTCTCTTTCTAAAAACTTTTATTCTAATTGCCTTTGGAGAACAAATTGCCAATGGATGCTCACAAGTTGAGTAAAATGACCAACACATTTGTGATGAACTAATTCAAAATATTTATTTCGGTCATTGACCAGCACAGGAAATAGTGTCACATTTCCATACAAACCTGGCATGTTTGGTACATTAAAAATATAAATATAACTACTAAAAACACACAATATGGGTGAGGGAGCAGAAGGGGAAACAGGGTAAAAACATACAATGCCCAGATCCATCACCAAATTGTAGATTCAGGGAAGAAGATTACTGGACACACAGTTAACTTTTGGGACTAGTCATTCCCTGACGGATTGTGTATGCTGCTGCACAGAACTTTGCAACATTGTAGGTTGTAGCTGAATTAGTATCTGCAAGTAGCATGGAGGTATAAAATTGTCCTGAATGGCCTGGGTGCTTGTCTATCAGAGGTAAGATAAGCCTGGCATGGATATCCCTGTAGAACGGGCACTGAAGGAGCACATGTTCTATTGTTTCTACATGACCCGAGTCACAGGGGCAGAGCCTCTCTGGGAAAGGGATCTTCCGGTAGCAGCCTTCGAGTACAGCTGATGGGAGAGCGTGGCATCGGGCCAGGGTGAAAGCCCTTCGATGAATAGGAACCTCTAAGTATGTTAAATATGCCATAGGGGAGGCAAGGTATCTGCTGTCTTCACTGATAAGGAAGCTTGGAGCCGAGGCCAGATCTAGTTGGCGCTCTGTGTCTGTGATACGTTGTTTAATAAGTGCTTTGGCTTGATTGTAATCCATAGCTAATAGTAGACCTGGAGAAAATCCCAACGAGGAGATTTTGGATGCTACCGCCTGCTTCCATGTGGTTTGGAAGTCATCCTCCATGGTTAGTGGGGCAAGGCCAAGGGGTGCACGGGACAGTCTGAGCCAGAGGTTAAGTATGGCCACCCACACCCTGGCCTCCACTCTCATAAAACCCGTCTCTAGTCGCAGGGTGGCATTAGAAACACATTTAGGTACCTGCAAGGCCGATCTCAGAAACTTGGACTGAACCACCTCTAATGTGGCAAAACTGGGGAAGGGGCCCAGCTGAGCACCATACAAGAGTTGGGCTAATGACTTGGCTTCAAACAGCTTGAGCGCTGCCGGTGTGAAGTGCCCCCCTCTTGTCGTGATGAACTAATGCAAATATGAAAGACACCTGGCATAAGGTAGCTGAAGACTGTGTACCCTTTGGGTGAAATTCCTTCTACATATTACTAATCAGGACAGGGAGAAGGCCAAGATTCATTTTCCTTCTAGGGCAGTTACACCCTTACTTACAGACCTCTTTCTCATATATCTCACTCTTACACAACACTTTTTTATAGAAGTAGATGGGAAGACTGGACATTTAAGGCTATAGAGCAGATGGACTTAGAATTTTGTTTCTTAGGCATGTTTTTTTAAAAAATCAAACTTTCTAATGGATTTATGATGAAAAAGAGTTCCATACATTTATTGGGATACTGTTTTTATAGCATATAGTAAAGGTTCAGGTTTCCCCTGATACTAAGTCTAGTCATGTCTGACTCTGGGGGTGGTGCTCATCTTCATTTTTAAACCAAAGAGCTGGCATTGTCCATAGACACCTCAAAGGTCATGTGACCAGCATGACTGCAAGAAGCACTGTTAACTTCCTGCAGAAGCAGTACCTACTGATTTACTAACCTTTGCATGTTTTCGAACTGCTAGGCTGGCAGAAGCTGGGGCTAACAGCAGGAGCTCATCCCACTCTCCAGATTCAAACCGTCAACCTTTCAGTCAGTAGCTCAGCAGTTTAGCCTGCTGTGCCACCAGGGGCATATATAGTAAAGAATATAGCATATATAGTAAAGAATATACCATATGCTTAATTTATCAAATATCTGCATGAAGATACACTAAGAAAAATCCATGCATTAGTTTCCTGGGATGTTTTTCATTTCTGTGCTATGACAGAGCACATTTTCCTGAACATTTTCAGATAAGAAAATGGAATTGATGCCTATATTTTAAACTGGCTTAATTGAAGCATACCATAATATAACTGTAGAACTCTGAACACACCCATCTATGATTGCTCATATTATCAGAAATCCTATGCGTCAGCATATTAAGATATTGATTTCTTCATGAAAGCAAACTGATTCACGTCTTACCTAAGAACATCAATTTCATCCTTCAGGGCCCTGGATTCTTCTGCTAGAGATGTCAGTTCATCATTTCGATGCTGAAGCTCAATTAGTTGTTTCTCAAGCTCTTCACAATGAACACGATAATCATCTTTTGCAGCTTCAAGCCTTTGCATAAATAACAAAGATTACTGGAAATAAGTCATTATTCATTTCCTTAAATGCTAGATACCTGTTTTTATGTTCAGTGCCATATTTATTTTACAGCTCCAGTAATGGAACAATGTTTTCTAGCTTTAGCACAAAAAGAACACCTGCTTAATTTCTCATACAAAGGAATACAAGTCACTTTGTGTCTCAGTTCCCGAGTTAAAATGGGGGCAATAACAACAAAAATGTGGGAATGTGGAATGTGCTTGCTATGTTCTATTGTAAGGGTATTAAAATCATTGTTTCTAAAGCCAATGTCTAATCAGGAATCTAATTACGGTAGTAGTTTGATTAAATACTCTTAATTATTTAATTATTTACTATAGCCCTCACTCCTGTATACCCAAGTGCTCAACAGTGAAGGAACATTTACACATGGCATCTAAAAAGTCATATAATTATAACAGAGTCTTGCTTATCCAACCTTCACTCATCCAACGCTCTGAATTATCCAATGCAGTCTGCCTCCCACCTGGATCCACAGCTGTTTCAATACATTGCGATGTTTTGGTGATAAATTCGTAAATACATTATTACTACATAAGGTTACCATGTATTGAACTGTTTTTTCTGATGATTTGTTGTAAAACATGATATTTTGGTGCTTAATTTGTAAAATCATAACATAATTTGACGTTTAATAGGCTTTTCCTTAATTCCTCCTTATTATCCAACATTTTCACTTATCCAACATTTTGCCGGCCTATTTACGTTGGATAAGTGAGACTCTACTGTAACACCATCATCTTGCAAATCTATCTAGGGACTACAATGGGACTAGTTTTAACTGTAATAAATAAAGAGGTTATATTAATGGATTTATCTAGCAAATATCCTTCTTAGATACAACATGCTAAAATGTTTAGAACTAAGCAGGTGAAAAAAGCATTCTGGTCTTTATAGACAACAATCCATATCTCAAAACAAATCCATATACACAAAGGAATGGAGTGTAGCCAGATTGACATTGTTCTTATCCCAAGATTATTTCAACCTACAAGACCAGTTTATAAGGGCAATAATATAGATATATATTTCCATAATCCCAGGGATCATTAAAGTAGAATGTAGATATGATAGGTGATAATAACTCATACCTAAAGTTTTCTTCTTGCAGCTGTTCTAGTTGCAACTGTACATGGAAATATTTTTTTGCGACTGCAGTATTTGTATCATCAAGAGAACCATCAAGTTGATCCAATCTGTCATTCATGATCTCATTTTCAGACATCAAACTGCTCTTTTCCTCTTGCAGAGCAGCAACCTAAGGATTCAGAAGCCCCTTCAGGATTACAGGTTTATAAAGACACCTGATAAAAATATGTTACTATTCAGCAATTGGTTTACAAAGGCTGATTTAAGGACACAGGACTGACCTCTGCCAAATAATGTGTGCTGTATACTAGGTCTTCTCAACCCACTATACCCAGATATTCTGGACCATTATTATAAGCCAACAAAGCGGCAGGTTTGATTTGAGTTGAAGTCTAAAATATTTGGAGAGTACTAGTTTGAGAAAAACTAGTTTAGAAGCAAAAGCATTTCTGAAATTAATAAAACTGCTAGTTTAAGCATTTTCATTTTTCCATATTGTAGCAAAAATGGATGCATCTCTGCACATAATGAAATTATCTAGAATCAAATCCCATTGTGTTTCAGACTGAGTTTGAGGATCAATTCCCCAAATTATGTTGATTTCATGAGAAGGCTCAGTGATTCTCAGTGATTCTCAAGCTGTGGGTCCCCAGATATTTTGGCCTTCAACTTCCAGAAATCCTAACTGCTAGGAAACTGGCTGGGATTTCTGGGAGTTGCAGGCCAAAACACCTGGGGACCCACAGGTTGAGAACCACTGCAGTCCACCTCCTATATCCATGGGATCAAAAAGCCTATGACATGGGAACTTCCAATGTTTCTGTGTGGCAAATATACTGTATCACATAGCTTCGTTTTTTGCAGTTTCTTTGCTCACAAATCAACACCTAGTTGGTGTCTACTTCTCTTCTATTTGCATCCCTCTAGATATTGGTCAGGGAAGATTTAGAACATGCAAGTAAATCAACATTATTAACTATAGTAACAACATGGAATCTCACAGAGTTTCTCAAACTCTGCTCCTTCAGAAGTTTTGGATTTCATCTCTCACAATTCCTAACAGCTGGTAAGCTGGCTGGGATTTCTGGGAGCTAAAATCCAAAACACCTGGAGAAGAACAGTTTGAAAAACACTGCTCTAAGGAAAGGGGCAATATACTTCTGTGCATTCAATCCTGGAAACAATCAATGAAGGGCTGTTCCCTGCTTGTAAATATGCAGATACGTATGTGTCTAGTTAGTTAGGAAGCTTGACATTGAACTAGATGGACTCTGGTCTGATTCATGTGAACAATATTTCCTCACATGATATCATAACACAAAAAAATGCCTCAGTGAATCAGGCCAGAGGCCACATAGACAGTTTCCAGCTCAATCTGGAAACAAAAATGGCACAGAGAAGACACAAAAGACAGGGGAAAATGGTTCCAGTTTTATAACTTGAATAATAAAAGCCAAAAAACTCACTATACTATCAGCAGTTAATAACTTTAGCAAAAAGCAATTCCAGGTACCTTAAAAGTCAGCAGCTGTGTGTGTGTGTGTGTGTGTGTGTGTGTGTGTGTGTGTGTGTGTGTATATATATATATATATATATATATATATATATAAACCTAGACAGCATTATGTGTGTGCATACACATGGAGAGAAACACACCATAAACATACACAAACGTACACATATGAGAACATGCATTTTATAATTATTTCTGGAAAAGTTGCTAGAAACGGAAACAAAACAGTAAGTATATTAGCAGTAATAAAGGAGAGACAGATTAACAGTACAGATTACTTAAGCTTTTTTGCTAGTGAAAGCCACAGTGTTAATTTTAGTGTATCGGAGCATGTCACATGTTAGTTTATTGCTATTTTAAATGCAGGATGCTCTTTAAGTTGCTTTTTCCTCAAACAAGAAGAAACCTACCTTTCTTATATTCTTGTAAGGTATCATGGGAGACTGAGACCTTATGAGTGAATTTATTAACAATTAGTTTAAACAGTAGTATAACGCTAACCACATTAAAAATTAAATACACATATTCAATATATTGTTGTGGCATTAGTGTATTTTGGCATGCTAACCAAATGATATTTTCCACATCTTAGATTGGAGGCTCTTAATTTTAGTCAAATATAAGAGTCAGGGTGGATTCATGACTATGAAATTATCTTTTTTTATATTGCTTAGATAATTATATTGGCTTATTAAAAAGAGTAGTTTGGGGGCAGGAAGGGGAAGAACACCAGAGATCACGGGTATCATTTTGGCCTCAGAAAGATTTTGACAGACCATATGCATTATTTCTGTTGTTCTAGATGAAATATTTCCCTGTTAAGGCTCGTCTACACCAGGCAGTTATAAATCTGCTCCATGGCTTTTATCGAAACAGCCCATATCACATCTCCTCCATGGCCATGGAACCGTCTGAGCTCCTGGCCACTGTGAGTGCCTCTGTGATCAGAACAGGTGCCTGCATGACAAGCAAGGAGGGAACAATCCCCTATTCTATTTCTGGTTGTGTATCCATCCTTTCAGACATCAGCCGAGGCACCTGTGATATCTAGGATCTCAGATGGGGCTTTGTGGTTAGCTAGTAGGCTTGGTTGATCTGGTTCGGAAGCTTCTAAAATCGGAATGAATTCGTATTTAAATGATTTTAGAAACAATTTCGAGCCATGCTGGAATAGTGTGAGGAGTAATTACAAATTGAAACAATTTACCCAATTTTCGGAATTATTTTCGGATGTCTGGTCAAGGTTTACAATCTCGCAGTTTCCCTGGCCTCCCTGGCAACAAGCGGCGATGCGGAAGGGCGAGGTGGGCGTGGCTACGCCCTGCTCTTCCTGAAGGCCATGTCCCCAGTGGCCGTCAAGAAGAGCTGGGCGTAGCCACGCCCACCTCATTCCCCTGCCATCCATCTCCCTTCGCAGACACCCAGGGAAGGGAAACTGCGAGATTAGTTTTAAAATCTCGCAGTTTCCCTGGTCTCCCTGGCGACAAGCAGCGATGCGGTTTCCCCCAGTGGCCGTCAAGAAGAGAGGCACTTTCCATTAACGAAGTAAACAAAGCTATTCAGATTTTTGCTATTTCCGATCTTTTTTTCAAGAAAATTTGAGAAATGATTTTAAAATCGAAACGCCAGTGCCCCCTATATACGAAACGAGTTTAGAACCATTTTTTTTCTTGATCAACCAGGCCTATTAGCTAGGAGTGGTGGCACACGCCATCTCCCTTTCTTGCACTGAAGAGTTAAAGGAAAAGGTGATAGTGTCCAATTTGGAGACAGAACAGTCTGAATTGAACCAAATCCAAACTGCCTTTAAGATGCAGGATAGTCTACAGCAATAGTTCTCAACCTGTGGTTCCCTGGATGTTTTGGCCTTCAACTTCCAGAAATCCTAACAGCTGGTAAATGGGCTGGGATATCTGGGAGTTGTAGGCCAAAACACCTGGGAACCCACAGGGTGAGAACCACTGGTCTAGAGTTACCACTCCTGGAGTATTCCAACTTCCTTGTCATGTGACAAGCCTGCATGGATCCCTAGGGAACCGGCCACAGTTCATTCTGAACTCAAGAAACAGAGAAAAAACAGATTAGGTGGGATATAAAAAATATGACCATCTTCATTCTCTTCTCATGTGCCATAATCAATGTACCCGCACACGGTACATTGTGTGTGCAGTAGCCATTCTCTGTATTACCCAAGTCATAGAAGAGGAAACCTCTGCCTTACAATACCTCTGGATCCCCTTTGAAACACCCAACTTACTTGTTCTCTGCTTAGAATTTGAACAGAAATAATATCTTATGTAACTGTTTGGGGCTTACAATAAGCATTTCTGTTATTTGATTTTTAAACAAATGTCTGCCTTTGTGCTTCATATTGGCAAACAGAGCAGATCGGATAGCATAAAAAGAAACTCTAATAAACATTCCACAGCACTTTCAAGGAGAATGTCTGCACATGTTTAGTTATCAGATAAAAAGAGAAGCTTAGTAGAATTCATGGATATCCAAGTCCTCTAAAGTATGGATAGGAAAAGCGAGATTGCCTACACATCTACTATAACCATACAGCTATAGAAGGAAAGCACTGCCACCTGACTCACTGCAAAGCACAACAAAACATTGCAGATTATCAAGCTTACCAATCTAACAACCAGAACTGAGCTAGAAAAACTATACGACAGCTGCATAAAATGCTGTACAAAACATAACTGAGACATACGAGTGCAAGGAGAACCCCACAGACTGTTTTTTTTAACCAAAAAAGCAGAAATATACAAACTCCACAAAAGTTATGTTACTATGCTCACTTTATGACTGCAACTGAGACCAAACATTCCTTCATGTCTTGTGCTCAAAGCTGTGTGTGATAAAGAAAAAAAGTTCCTTAATAAGCCTCTTCCTGGCTGGCTGATGTGTCCTGCTCTATGTCACAGGTTAAAACTCTTTATGGATTATAAAATAATTGGTACAGATTATTCCTAGAACAGAAGCACAAATGAGTGGTTTTACTCTATTAATGAAATAGCAGAATGTGGCCAAACAAGATTATTGAAAACACTGTAGTAGTTATAAAGATAGTGTCCTCAAGTAATATCTGATTTATGGTGATCCTAAGGCAAATCTATTGTGGGTTTTCCTTAGCAAAATTTGTTCAGAGGGAGTTTGCCTTTGTCTTTCTTTGAGGCCAGTGGGTTTCCATGGTCAAGCAGGAATTCCAGCTGTGATTTCTAGAGTTGTAGTCCAATGCATAAACCATTGAACCATAATGAATTTTGCATACAGATTTGATCTAATGAGAAAGTGATGCCTATGAATGCTTAAATTGTACCTACCTTTCTTCTATTCTTGTAAGGTATCATGGGAGACTGAGAACTTATGACAAAATAATAAACAGTGTAGTGCTACCTAGGATAAGCTAGGATTGTTTCCACAAAATGTTTTTTCTACACTAAACTATGTATCAGAAAGTACTCTTCACGGCAAAACAATCTGTTTTGAAAACCAAACATGATTTGATTCTGTAGTTAGCACTACAATTCATGGCTCACAAAAACAGTAAAACAAACTCAGAGGCTCAGTGTGTCTACTGTAAGACTACATTCTTAACAGATACAATTTTAATCACTAAATCAAAGTACATATAACCTCTCTCTTGGCAACCTCTCTCTTGGCAAGCGCTTGAGGGAAGAAAATTCTTACCTGTAGATCTAATTCTTGACACCTCTGCTTCAGTTCTTCTTTTTCTGCTAGTACATCAGCAAGCTCTTCTAACGCTCTTTTCAGCTTAAAAATGTTGAATTTTTCAATTTTAATCATTTAGCAACACACGTTTCATGACTATATACTCAACAATCACATTACTGTAAATATATAGGAAAAACAAGTTTCTAGAGCTGCAACCTCAATTTTCTAGATTTACTAATACATGAGAACAGTAATCAAATCTGTCTCTTATGAAGACATTGGGCTAAATTCCACTTATCTGCAAAATGGATTATTTTTTAGTGATGCCATTGCTGTAACACCAAATCAACACAGAGGGTTTGAGAATCTTCCCATCATGTTTTATGGCTTCCTGAACACAGTGTAGGGCACTTCTCAGTGAAGAAAGATAGTTTCCTCTAGTAACAATGTCTACTGTGGCTAGCTAAAAATAATGATTAACTATGATGCTCAATGAACTGAAGCTATGTCTTCAAAGGTCCAGATACTCTGGTATAAACTGTTCCAGAGCTACCCTGGTCACAGCACAGGACCACTCCCGAGCCAATTTACACTCCAGACAGCTGGCTGAGCTGACAGTGCATTGGGGTCCAAAGCTGACCAAAGCTGCTCCTTGGCAGAGACTTGCTGTTGATGTCACTTCTGGCGAGGTCAAAACAGGACGTCTAGCCACGTGATTACTAGAAGCCAAAGCTCTGCTGGGGGGCTGATTCTAAATGGTGATGCAGTGGTGGGTCTTTTTGACATGTATACATCTAACTCAGACCAGGTGTCCACATCTGAAAAATATGAGGGTCACTCTGCAGATCCCTGAAAGCTCCAGAGTACCTTGAAGTACTGCTTGTGCCAGATTATCAGCATGAAACAGTACTTATGCTGTGAAACTGACAATACATAACATGGGCCACTCACAGCAATTGCAGGGTCGTTGCATTTTATTTGATACAAGTAGACATGGTCTTAGTTTAAAAATTGAATTGAATGCTGTTGGGAACACTGATTATGTTTAGTAATTACCTGTTGCTCCAGATCACCAGATAAGTCACTTGCAACAAGGCCCACTATTTCTTTGCTCATTAACTGCAAATATAAAAAGCAGAATAGATATAAATATCTATGCCCAGAAACAATCTGCTATCAACAAAGTTTCAAGCTTGCATTGTAAAGACAGTGCACAAGAAAATATCTATGGATTCTAGGCTCAAATGAGACCTGGAGAGACTTTTTGCTATTGATCACATGAGTATAGCATATTCTGATCTGACAGAAAAAAAGAGTCTTTTTCCCCCATTCTCAAATGCTATACTCGCAAAAAAAAAAAGTCTGAAACAACCCAACACAAAGACTTTTTGTTATTAATGTTTTCTAAGTGATCCCCTATAAAAGTCAGACGAATGACATGTGCACCCATATTTAGGCATGCATCAGTTGGTAGTTCCCATATACAGATTTTCATAGTACAGGTTGACTCTCCCTTATGTGGAATTGCAAAATCTGAAATTCATCAAAATCCAAAATTGACTAAATGGATGACACCTTTGCTTTCTGATGGTTGACAATACATGCACAAACTTATAAAATTGCATTCAAGCTGAATGTAAAATGTGCATATAAAATATAAATGAATTTTGTATTTAGACATCTCATTATGTAAATATATACAAATACAGTTATTACAAAATAAATTTTAAAAATTGGAACTCCAAAAGGCCCCAAGCATTTCAGATAAGGGATCCTCAACATGTAAACAAAAAAAAAAACCCTCTTTCATCATCCAAAACAAAACTTACAAAACAAAACAAATTTTGAACAAACTCTTTTGTTCAATATACATACAATTCTGGAAGCATAAATCAAACAAGAACAGAGAACAAGCAACATGAAGGGCAAAAGGAAAGAGATCAGTTGCTGGGTTGTGGTAAGTTTTTCGGGCTGTATGGCTATGGTCCAGAAGCATTATCTCCTGAAGTTTTGCCTGCATCTATAACAGGCATCCTCAGAGGTTGTGAGGTCAGACCTCACAATCTCTGAGGATGACTGCCATAGATGCAGGCGAAATGTCAGGAGATAATGCTTCTAGAACATGGCCATACAGTCTGAAAAACTTACAAAAATCCAGTGATTCCAGCCACGAAAGCCTTCTACAATACATAGATCAGTTGCTATTTAACTTACTTGAAATATTCTATCATCTATGCTCAAAATGTTTGTTTCCATTCCCCTCCCCCACTTCCATCAAATCAATTCAGTTAAATTAAATTAGCCACACATAAAAGGCAAATGTTTTCAGATAACTATGACCAATTATCTTATCATTATTGCCATGCTAGTAATCCAAACCCGTCTAATTTTTGCTGCAGCAGGGGGAAAGAGGACTGGATAACGAATCAATTACAGTTTTGACATGTGATGATTTTATTTTCTTACCTCTTTAATGGCAGCTATTACAACATGCTGCACAGACTCATCCAGTGATAATTTTATTTTCTTACCTCTTGAATAGCAGCCATTACAACATGCTGCACAGACTCCTCCAGTGTCATTATAACTTGTATATGTTCTACAAAGCAAAACATGCAAACATTTGTTTTTGTAATATTTGTTTTACAGATTACAGAAAGGTACATTATGCCTTGTATCCATAATGAACTCTTTGTCTTACGACTAATTTCTGAAACATTCTTAAACTGTTTGCTAATCATTCCTGGTACAATTTCTGTAGTTCTAATTATGGAAAGAATGTCATTGTGACTTAACAATATAATCCATATCTACATCTATACCTAGCTAGGCCTTGGCTCTAAAACAATTGAATAAGCTTACCGTCAAATTGGTATTAGGACGGATGCTTAAACATCATTACTGCTCATTATTACTGAGATAAATTAGACACTCCACTTAGAGATAGACAGAAATTTCCTGCAGGCTGAGTAAACACACTATTGAAGGTTATGAAGGTTGAAAATTATTAGTCACATTGATTTCAGTGGATCAATTACCCCTCATGATAGGCTCAATTTAGGGTCACTATAAATCAGAAACTACTTGAAAGCGCACAACAATTCTGGATAGGATTGATATAGTAGTTTTTTCTAAGCCAATCAATTTAAAAAAAGTAAAATGTAGAAATTCTTATTACAAAATACTATTCTTTTTTTTAAAGTCATCTTATGAAATCATTTCTCTGAAATTAATCATAGTTAATATTAATTATGATTCCAAGACAGGAATTCCAAGACAGATCATACAGTAAACCTCTTCTCGTAGTCATATATAAAGACAATGAGGAAGGACCTACACATCCCTGATATTTATTGTTGGCTATGCAAATCTGAAAACTGTTTAGAATGTCCAAATTTGCATATGTGTTTAGTTGAACATTAACCAAATTCAAATAAGATTTATTATAAGTAAATTGAAATTACATTTGGGCCTTAAAGGGGTAAAAACGAAAACCAGAAATACTGCATCTTATTATACTCATATTTTGAGTTTCAAATGATATTTTTATTGTATTTTTGTGATTATGATAAATACACTTTAATCTAGTCACCAAAACAGTAAAAACATGCCTCAGAAACAAAATACTTTAAAATTTGTGAATTATTAGACCTTTTAAAGTGTTATTTCATCCCATACAGTACATCAAAAGGAGGAAGGAGGAAGGAAGCATTTATCAAGTCAAAAACATCAATGCAAACCATTTCACAATTTCTCTACGCAGCCTACTAATTATCATGATTTATGACAAAATAAACTGCTGATTCACCATGAAACCTGTACCTTGCTTCTTTTCACAGTTGACTGCACAGCCTAAAATGAGCTGCAATAACCTGCCCAACTCTACTGGATCAGAATGTTCAGATATTCGGTTCAAATCAGGAAGGAGATCTTCTGAAATCTGCTGACCTAAAAACTGTACAATCAAAACAAAAGAATTCTGGAATTAGAAAACGTCATGATGACAGCCAAGGAAATAAAATCCATGACATCAATATTTATTGAGTTGGTCGGAATGAAGCTATTTTGCTCATATGTGCACTAAGTAAATTTTACAAGATCCACTGCTGAAATTTGCAAGTCATAGAAAATGCAACCTATACAGTTAGAAAAACCTAGAATGAAATACATCTATAAAGACTTATTAGTAGTTAAAAAGAAAAAGCCAGGAGAGCTTTTGCTGATAACTACCTTTGAAAATATAAATATTATTTTCAAAATATTTACAGTATTTAAACAGAGCAAAAACCAACTTTACCATACATGTCTCATTCATATAACACATGATCAACATTTGCAGATACACACTCAAAACAGATAATAAGCACAGTTACTTCTACTGGCTGTTTCAAGACTTTCCATTCTATAAACAGAAGAGCTGATTTTTGTGCACAGAAAAACAAAATAGAAATTCAAAAAAGTCTTCCCATTGTAAGAAGGGAACGATCTTTTGCACTACTATGGAGCCCTCCCTCAATTTTCCAAATTAACTTTTCTGGAAGCAGAGAAGACTATGGGGACAAGGAGAAACATAAGAATCACACTTTCCCTATCTTTAGAGCAAACACAACGTCCCAAAGCACTAGTTAGTAGATCCATTCCAAACCATACAAAGTCCTCTCTATTTTAATGAACCTATGATAACTGTTCTAATTCCCTAAGCATTTAAAAACACAGAATAAGATTGTTAGTCAGACAATGTATAAAATTATCCAAACAAGTTTCACAAGTGTTTATTTATTATGCTTTTAGATTGCCTAGCACCCAAAGTTCTGTCTCTAGTTTATAACCAAGTTAAAAAACAAATGAGATAAAGATCAGCAACGGGGAGTATGAACATGTTAGCATGCCCACAGCCAAAACAAAACAAAAGCGGATTATGAGTGCTAATAATTCTTTTTAAACCCTTAAGAGAACAAAAAGGGTTTTACCTAACACCCAAAAGGCCATAATGAAATTGCTGTGGAGCCTCTCAGGTACATTTCTCAAATCGTACACCACACCTGAAATAGCCGTCTCTTCAGTAACCATGTGTCTCGCCTCATTTGATGGTGGCATCTGTAGAATGCCCTTGTACCTTCTGGTCTAGTACTTAAATATACAATATTACACATAACAAAGGAACATAATTCATGGGAAGACTATAGCAACAACTACCAAATGTTCAACAAAGATCCATAGTTTGATGACTGAGGTAAAAGGGTATTTATATAAATGATGGTTATACATACCTCATGATAATAATCGGTAATTCCTTGAAGAACTTTCTTCAAATTACTAGCCTAGGAATGTTTAAAAGAATATAGTGATTACTATTAAGACGTCATTTTGTGAAGACTTTCTTATTTTTGAAGTCTAGTATTCCATTTCTCCCGCAAACTTTACTGAGCAGATACCACATATATGAACAAGGTAGAATCAGCTGTATCCTGCCATGTACTACAAAAGATCAATATTGCTGCAATAAAAAAAATGTAAGTCTCAGCTGACAGAACAATTCCATGTACCTACTTGAAATAAGCCTTTTTAATACCCCTTGAAGATAAAAGCAAGCTTACAAAGAAAGAAACAATCAGGAGTTCTGCTGTAGCAAGCATCTTGTTCAAAATTATATTGTTTAAAGGGCCAGTCTCCAACAGTACAAAACTGCTTTATTTACAGAGTTTTAATATAGAAATCTTGCTCTATATAAGTATTTGGTTTCCATTACCTTGATTCTCCAGTTGTCACCAACATCTTCTTTAATGCGGCTTAGCCAAGCGTTGTCAAACCAGGCAGCATCACTACAATAAGAATCTACGATTATTAAATATTACAAAAACTACTGAGTTGAGTTCCAGCCCTGTATCTGATATATAGGTATTTATCCAATGGTGGATAAATCATTCTTGTGCATCCTCTTCCCCAGCAAATGTCAACAACAATTGAATGCAAGGAAGAGTGATGTTGGAAAGAACACAAATGCCAGCTCACACGGCTGGCCTTCAGGGTCATATGAGAACTTCCCAACTCTGCATTAGAAGGAACAGTGCACTTAAATTAACAAATATTATACCTATCACTCTTTTTAATGTGTATTACCTTGTAATACACTTGTATTATCTTTTTAGTGGAGTCTCTCAGAAATTCCATGTCGATGGTTTCATTCAACTGCTCTTATAGTAAAGAAAGAGCAACTGGCCTTATACTTAGTGACAAGATTTCCACTGGCCAATTAGACATCCTCAAACCCATTTTGTCTTGTTTATCAGTACATACTAATATATAGGTTGATTCACTGTATATGTTGAGGGCAGGTTTTGGGGCAAAATTATGGAATAAGTCCACTGCTTGGAGAGGGGAACACCCCAGCACTATCTTGGGGGTCATTTGCCCCAGCTACCATTTTCCTGCCAAGGTATTGAAAAAAGGCCAGATGTAGTGCTGTGATGAAGACAGTACAGAGGGTGGTCTACTGGGTCAGCCTGTGCCTCAAGCGAGGGGTCAGCGGATGAGTTGCCTCTGGAGACTTTTCAGAGCCATGACCAGAGCCATGGCAACACCTCAGGCTTGCAGAGGCAGAGAAGGAGCAAACCTGGGGTCAGGTTTTGTTTCCTCTTTGTAATCAACCACCGGCTGGGCCAATTCTATGCATGCCTCCACATGACAGACTCCGTTCATGACCAATTACGGTTACAACCCATGGATCTTCCCCTCTGTACTTCCTGCCAACTCAGTTCCAGCAGCAGATGTTTTTGTACAGGAATTACAGGCATGGCATGCTGTCTTAAAGGAACAATTGACCAAATGCAGATTGGTAGCGGCAGCCAGGTGAAACCTGCCCAGTTCGAGACCCTCCTAGAACAGGAGGCCTAATGCATCAGGCCTTATTCGGTGGTGGAGCAGATCAAACCAGTTGCTTTTTGCCTTGACCTGACCTCAACACTTCGTGTCCATTCAGTCTTTCACTGTTCTCTCCTTGTACCTACTACCCCACTGGACCCCCACCATCTTCACATGCTGCCTTCTAGATCAATCATGGTTGAGGACTTTGAGGTTGCCCAGATCCTGGACTCTCACTGACGAAGGGGCTTCGCCAGTAACTGGTGGACTGGAAGGGGTATGGCCCAAAGGACCAGTCTTGGGAGCCTGCAACACAGGTCCATGCTCCTGCATTGGTGCATGCTTTTCATTAGAAATACCCGCACAAGCCTAAACCTGCTACTCGAGGGAGGAACCCTCAGGGGAGGGAGACAGTGTACTAAGTCAGCCTGTGCTTCAAGCCTCTAGTGAGGAGTCAGGGGATGAGCTGCTTCTGGAGACTTTCAGAGCCATGGGCAGGAGAGAATTCAAGACCTAAATCTGGATATAGACTTAACCCCAGAGCCAGAAGCACCAGAGGAGGAATGAAATGTGACAACACCTCAGCCTGCAGATCAGGGTTTGTCGCCACTCTGTAATTAACCACCAGCTGTTCCTGTGCAGACCCCCAGCTCACCTGAGTCATCAAATGAACAGAGGAGACAGAGGCTAAGGTTCGCTTTAAAGAAAGGCATAGAAATGTTCGTTTAGTTGCAAGGAATCAGCAGAGAGAAACTGGTGAAGTGTAATTAGGATCCAGCCCACAACTTGTTGACTTACTATAAAGCAGCAATAAAGCTAGGGGCAAGTTTTGGGAGCAACTTGCATTTGTGCTGTACCCACTGGTTGTATTTCACTGAAATTTCTGGACCTTAACCACTGCTTTGGATTATCGTTAACCTGTTTGCTCCAGTCTTAACTTGTGCATTTGAACTTTGGAATACTCTTTCTGTGGATTATCCTTAGAGTTGGCATAGTGATTTTGATGAATATTATTCCCAGTTGTGTTCTTGTACATTGGTGTGGTTGTTATTTTACTGTTGAGACATTTGATATCTGGGGTTAGCCAGCACAGGTGGTCCCTTTTTTTTATAAGAGTTAAAGATAGAGTACTTATTTTGACCCATAGATAAGTCAACCCAGGTTTTTTTAGTTGATTTTTTGAATACAATTTTAGACCTATATGTCTGCATATAGGCAGAGGAACGAGAGACCAGACTGCCAATATCCGCTGGATAATGGAGAAAGGCAGGGTGTTTCAAAAAAAAAAAATCTATTTCTGCTTCATTGACTATTCTAAAGCCTTTGACTGTGTGGATCATAATAAATTGTGGCAAGTTCTTGGTGGGATGGGCATACCAAGCCACCTTGTCTCTCTCCTGAGGAATCTGTACAAGGACCAAGTAGCAACAGTAAGAACTGACCACGGAACAACAGACTGGTTCAAGATTGGGAAAGGCGCACGGCAAGGCTGCATACTTTCACCCAACCTTTTTAACTTGTATGCAGAACACATCATGCATTGTGCGGGGCTTGATGAATGCAAGGCTGGGGTGAAAATTGCTGGAAGAAACATTAACAACCTCAGTTATGCAGATGACACCACTCTGATGGCCGAAAGCGAGGAGGAGCTGAGGAGCCTTCTAATCAAGGTGAAAGAAGAAAGCACAAAAGCTGGGTTGCAGCTAAACATCAAAAAAACCAAGATTATGGCAACAAGAATGATTGACAACTGGAAAATAGAGGGAGAAAATGTGGAGGCCGTGACAGACTTTGTATTTCTAGGTGCAAAGATTACTGCAGATGCAGACTGTGGCCAGGAAATCAGAAGACGCTTACTTCTTGGGAGGAGAGCAATGTCCAATCTCGATAAAATAATAAAGAGTAGAAACATCACACTGGCAACAAAGATCCGCATAGTCAAAGCCATGGTATTCCCTGTAGTAACCTACGGATGTGAGAGCTGGACCTTAGGGAAGGCTGAGCGAAGGAAGATAGATGCTTTTGAACTGTGGTGTTGGAGGAAAGTTCTGAGAGTGCCTTGGACTGCGAGAAGATCCAACCAGTCCATCCTCCAGGAAATAAAGCCCGCCTGCTCATTGGAGGGAAGGATACTAGAGACAAAGTTGAAGTACTTTGGCCACATCATGAGGAGACAGCAAAGCCTAGAGAAGACAATTATTGCTGGGGAAAGTGGAAGGTAAAAGGAAGAGGGGCCGACCAAGGGCAAGATGGATGGATGGCATCCTTGAAGTGACTGGACTGACCTTGAAGGAGCTGGGGGTGGTGATGGCCGACAGGGAGCTCTGGCGTGGGCTGGTCCATGAGGTCACGTAGAGTCGGAGACGACTGAACGAATGAACAACAACAACATGTCTGCATATACCACATAATATTTACGCATGCTAATGAGGAAATAAATAAACAAAAACCACAAAAGAAACATATAAAATAGTAATTTAACATGTCTTTTATAATATAACTTACATTTCATGAAGTACTTGTGCCATGGCAACACCATTAGTTAAGTCCTGAACTTCCCTGCAGGATTCAGCAGTGTTAAATGTCTGCAACTAAAAGAAAACGTGGATAAATGTAATTGTTCCTTTCTCAATTTGCGCAGATTTTTTTAAAGTGCTCAAATAGGTAGAAGTATCCAATTGAGTAATTTGGTGCCAAATTGTTTATGGCTTTAAAGGCTAAAAACAACACTTTAAATTCTGCTCAGAAACACACCAGCAACAAGTGGAGTTACGATATTCACTGTCATATGACCTGTTTATCCCCTGAACCACTACAAACATTCAGGTGCTATATTCTATATGAGCTGAAGTTTTAAAACTGTCTTCAAAATCAGCCCATTGGAGTACAATTGTCAAGCTGAACAGTACAGCATACACTTGATGTTCAAATCACATCTTAATTCAGCTTAATTAAACTGACTCAGTTTGATTTTTTAACACAAGGGTATCTTTAAACAAACTAAAAAGCATTATTATAATCAATTTTAAACATACGTCATTCTAGCAGAAAACCTCTAAGAATCTCTTAAGAATGGGGAGATCTAGCCTTATTTGTGTAACTAAAACATTGCTTTGCAATTTACCTTTGCAAGTGGACTATTGACTGAGCATATATAAGCACCAATAATTCTTTTTAAAATCTTCTTCCATGCCCTTGAAGGCCAAGGCTCTTAGCCTCAAACACCTCCCATTTCACACAAGAATAATCCTACTGGTATACGCAGAAGGGCTCTCCTAAAAATTACTTAATTGAAAAGAACACTTTGAATAATCCCTATATAAATGGCCATTACAATCAGAAGAACAGAAAACGGTTAGTAGGAAAAGGGATTAGACTGTTTTATATTAAAAGAGCTGTCATGTGATTTAAAAGTAAGTAAGCCAGTCTGAGAACTCAGTCATCTGTGAACTCCCGAAGACAACCATGCAGAAGATGGCCCTGAACATATTTAAACTGAATAATTCAAGCAAGGGTGTCTCAACATGTCACAGCTATGTGATTTATTTTAAGTCAAGTGTGAATTAAGCTTTCTAAATCTACACTTCCATTTCTCCTGGATTCTATTTGTTCTCTAAAGTTAACTTCTTTGTGCTAATCACACAAATGAAGAGTCCAATACTGAATTAAATTATATGCCATAATATCCTGCCTGCCTAAATCTTAAGCATGTTACTGTATGAGACTGTTTCGGTTCAAATACTACACTTATTTTTACTACAAAACTTATGGTTTCTGTTTTCTTTTTTCCTTATTTGTCTGATGACATAAACTAAAGTACATATGTTTAGGCAGCAAAGCATTTAACTATTAGGAATGATCTCCTTATTATAAGAGGTATTCACAATTTGGCTTGCACAAAACTAAGCTTTTAAATACTTATATTAAATTTTGTAAGCATCCCAAATAGTGCAATTTTAGATGCTAAATTATTAATAAAGTAATATTGACACCACGGCATAAAAAATGAATATTGCATATATTTTATTTTTCCCCAAACTTCCTGCTCTCAACAAAAACCAGGAGCATTCCGCATCACTTTCCAATAGCTTCAACATGTCTGAATATTTTACATCTCTGTGCCCGCCCCCTTTATAGCATATTTGTTGAACATTGATGGAGCTTCAATGCTGCTGTTTTATTCTCTTATGTTTAATTGTGTTTTATCTGGATTGTTGCATTTTGCAATGCTCCTATTTTAGTGTTTTTGTTTTAATGGATTGCTTAGCTTTTTTTGTCTGTTGGGCTTTCTGTCCCATATGTAAGCTACCACGAGTCCCTTCAGGGTACAAGAATAAAATTGTTGTTGTTTGTTGTTGTTATATCGTCTAACATTTCTTTTTTTCCAGCTTTAAGGGTTGTTTTAAATTTTGTAAGGACTGAGTTCCTTTATCTTATTACTGTGATTATATTATGTGCCATTATATTCATAAAAGTCAGCCTCGTGCCTAAGTTGAGAACAGGTTTGAGGGTCAAAACTATACATTTTTATATGATCTTTGGATAAGTTGAGAGCTATTCCAGTCATTCCACAGAGAAGGGAACACACCAATGTTGTCTCATGGGGCAGCTGCCACCGCTATTTTCCCAATCAGGTATTCAAAAAGACCAGAATTGGCACCACCACGGAGAGAGTAGAGGGGGTCAGTGCACATTTTCACATTCTCCCAGGAAAAGCTAAGTTCTTGCCTTTCACCTCTTTAATCAGAGAAGGGGATGGTTCCTTTTTGATAAACAGTAAATTACAGTAGTCACACTGGTCCATGAATAAGTTAACTCGGTTTTCTTGGCAGGGTTGATTTCTAGACTTTTACGTGAGTACACTGTGTTGATTTGCTCACTGGACTGCAACCCTGAGACCAGGCTTTGAATCCCAGCTTGGCCCCACAAATCTACTGGGTGACTTTGGGCAAGCCACACTCCATCAGTCTGAGAAGAAGGCAAAGGCAAATGTTTCATGTCCAGAACAGAACTAAAATAAATAAGTTCAGTGGGACTTGCTCTCAGGTCAATGAATGAATGATTGCAGCTTCAGAGAACCTCAGAGTGAACAACAGCTCTTAATATAGGTTAGTGCCTCCTCGAATAGATCTAGCTAATTGGGATTAGTAGACAAGCAGGGTCATTTGCCAAGAACAGCACTGCTCATCTGTTACTTTGAACTATAAACATGGAAGTTCTAATATGCCAAGATAAACTTCATAAATGAGTTGAGAAAAAGAAACCAAAATTTAACTTGGTAAACCACTTTCCAACTGTAACCACAATTAAACATGAATGAAAGCCTGCCCTGCTATTTTGCCTGCAGGACTCTGAAATAATCTATTCTGTTTTTACTAAAATGTGAAGAAATTATTTTTGGTACCTAACAAGCAGACATATAGTAATGATTAGTTTTATGGTTAAAATATTACTGTTTTGAAAAAAAGTAATATTTTAAGAAATATTGTCAATACATTGATTAAAAATGATACTTTTTTTGTAGAAATAACTGTTTTATTGTGTATTAAATTTCAGAAATAAGAAAACAAGATACTTAGGTAAGAAACTTTCCTTTCAGATCTAAAGTAGTAAACATTCTAACTCACTGGCTGAGCTCACAGAATTGGTTTCGGAGGTATTCTTGGAGTCACCCAGATTTTTGCTTCTGGTAGTGCATGTGCTAATAACCTCAAGGAGACTCCCCCCTGGGCACACAGAGGACTGGGCGACTTGGAAGGCACTGAACAGACTGCGCTCTGGCACCACGAGATGCAGAGCCAATCTTAAGAAGTGGGGCTACAGAGTGGAATCCACGGCATGCAAGTGAGAAGAGCAAACCACTGACCACCTGGTGCAATGCACCCTGAGCCCTGTCACATGCACAAGGGAGGACCTTCTTGCGGCAACACCAGAGGCACTCTAAGTGGCCAGATACTGGTCAAAGGACATTTAATCAACTACCAAGTTTGCAAAATCTGTGGGGTTTTTTTTTGTTTTTTTAAGATCTGTTTGTTTGTTTTGTTCTGTTAGAAATGTAATCCAATGGTATGGTTGCTGATGACACGATAAATAAATAATAATACCTCAAGGACATCTGCAATGCGCTTTACATTGGGCTACCTTTGTAACAAGTTCAGAAACTCAAAATACTGAAGCGAGACTAGTTACAGAAACATCTGGGAGTGAGCATATTACACCTATCCTAAAGTTATTTCACGGAGTGTCAATGAGTTTCCGGCCAAAGTACAAGGTGTTGACAAGTACAAAATGTAGAAGAAAGAACATTTTATATATAAGCAAGTACATGTTCTCTGACAACCAAAGGATTCTCTACAAAGTCTCTTGCACACAAAATCTCCAGGAATAGTTTGGAAGTGCAAGGCTGTGGGAAAAGGGAATTGATTTGTTGCACAAGTAGAAATCAATTTATGTGATATTTCATGCTAATCTATGAGTAAGTGGTATTTTTACACAGTGAAAAATGTTGCCACATAACTTGGAAAATGAATCATTAAACGGTGCAATGTAATGTATCTGATGCTGGTACCATATTAGAATTCATTCGCTACAATATATGTCTTTCTTTCCTGGACACTGAGCAGGGACTCAAAGTCAATGGAACTATAAATTGCAATGAAGATTTAATAAAGGTGTCTGCATTGTATTTCTGGGAATAATTATACAAGAGATACATATAACAAAAGGAAATATATGAAAACTGCTACTTTGTAAATAAATAAATAAATAAATTGCAGGCAATATTCAAGAACAGTTTTACTTCAGATGGTCCCCCGTATTGCATCGGATTAATATCCATGGGATTAATATCCAGGCATATATTTTTGTAAACCCACTGTAGAGTACCAACACTGCTTTTTCAGTACAGCCATGTGTCTGCCATTTATACTAAAACATGTTTATTCAGATGTCCTATAGAGTTCTTGCTCCCAAATAAGCGCATGTAAAATTGAAGCTTGTTATTCTTTTGCACAATTGATTTTGGCACCACTACACATGGCCTCCTGCATATAATAATATGGCAGGTACTCCGGCTCACACAGCCATTGTTTCTTTTTTTTGTTCATAGGCAGTTGGGCATTATTCAATACACAGTCTTCTCAATTAGATCTACATTGTCAGAAATAGAGTTGTGCATCTCACCCTTTCATCTGTTTTTAAAGCTTTGTTCCTATCAAGAAGAAGAAATGGGCTTGATTTGATCATCTGTGAGGAAACACAGATTATCAAAGCTATGTAATGCTTTTAATTGTGAGCTGCTTCAAGTCTCCGTATGGAGAGAAAAAGCAAGATATAAATAAACACAACAACAACAACAGACATAAACAATTGGGGAAAATTGATGGCCATTCATATGTCTGAGTTGCTTCCCTACAGAAGCAAACTGAAATGAGAAAAACTGCTACTAATTAAAAATTCAGATTTCAGAATAGCAAGCATTAAGAAGATAAATGTTTACCATGATTTTAACAATTAAATACAGACAGACATTTAACTATTTTTCTTAAATACAAAGCTTTTAGTCTACATTTAAATCTTAAAAATATACCCA